ACCAGTTGAGGTGAAGTCGTCCTAAGTTAAGGAGTTGGAAAGAATAGGAGCCTCGGAATTTTCTCGGGTTCGAGACGGTTTCCCCAGATTCCTTTTGTTCTAGAGCCCCTTTTGGTATCTCTGCTTCCATATCTAGTCAACATGGAATGGTCATTATTGCTGCCTTCATTTCAACCACGTCGACTGTGAAGAGAGTGACCCATAAATGAAAATAGATAGAATAGAAAAGAGTAGAGCCATTGTAATGATGAGCAAAGTGATTGCGTTTTCGGGGACCGTATTTCGTAGTTATTCTTCAGGCTGATGTCATAGTTTGCAAATCGAGCGATTCGCTAGCGAATCGCTGGATCCGAGCGTTGCGCCAGCGAATCGAATTTGTGCCAGCGACTCGAACACCTGAGAGTCGAACTACAGCGAGGGATCGGTCGATTCCCACCACTTCCAAACAGTGTGGTCCTTTAAAGTGGACTTCCTTTAAATGTTGGCTCCCGCCACTTTCAAACAGTGTCGAGTCGCTGGTACATCGTTCGACTCGCTGGTGCATTCACTGGCTGCAAAGTTCGATTCGCTGGCGCAACGCTCGGATCCAGCGATTCGCAAACTATGACATCGGCCTTACACTATCAACATATGCCGTTGCACTGTTGCATACGAAATTCATTTTAGATCTAAGAAAGTAATCTACAGTTTCCAAGGAGGGGGAGAAAAACCCGAATAGGTCTGAATATCCATAGCTCAATAATAACAACTTCGCAACTTCCTTTTTTATGATGCTTTGGCTGATTCTCTTGGAGGCTTTCAAAAAATGAGTTCTCCATGAAATTATTGCGACACATATCTGCAAATTCAACCACCTTCCTGTTTTTGATTCTTACTGCTGTTTTTGGCCGCAGTTCGCCTTGCGAATGTTTCACAAGAATGCTGGGTTGTGAACAAAACTTTCGCCCCAGGACGGGACTAGAACCCGCACCTCTTGCTTTCCGGGCAAGTGCGCTACAAGTTACGCTACCGGGTAATTTTTTCACAACCCAGCACTCTTTGCTCTTGTGAACTCATCCGCCTAATTCAGTGCTCCGGGTTATGTGGAGGAGATTATTGCAAAGTGTCCAAGGAGTTCGTAACATCCAATAACTGGGTAGCCAACACTTTCATGCCATAAAAATTGATGATGGCCCTCTCAAAGGCCTTAAAAATTGATGGTGATCTTCGATAAGTATTCTACGCGATTTGTTTGATGACACTGATAATATGTGTGAAGAAGGAACATAAGCGGATGAAACGACTCAGGAGCAGCTTCAGAAACGCAGATCTGAATCAACGTTTTTATATTCTCCCAAATGATTCCCCTTTCAGATACGGTTTCGAGAGACAAATGGTGCTCTGGTGGTCGCATTGGTTATTTGTGGCAGTCAATGTTCATATCTTTTCCACCGTATCTTCTTATTATTGCTCATGTATGAAGGAATATAAGCACAATACTGCACAGAGGACATTTTATCTTGTCATGACCTCTCAGGTATAAAACGCTAAGTTTTGAAATCAAGCAACCAATAGTCGCGGACTTTAGCTGACCAGAAACCCAGTCCCTGTCGATGTCTTCTCTGGTTGGGGTTGTCGAAGTCTCTTGAGGAAGAAGTTCGTCAAATTTATGGAATTGGACCAGCAGACGGTTGGCCCTGCTTCTACGTGCTTAGGAAGCGACCCAGGCCACGCTTGGAACATTACTGGCCGAACATACTTTGAATACACCAGCCATCACAGTCAGTTAATTGAGAACATTGTTGCACCATAAAGGAACAGGGCTGCCATGTGAGAAGGATGATGAAGAATACGGAAATTTATGGACCTAAAGACTTTAGTGTCATGAAGCCTTCATGAATTTTTATGTCAAGAAGGAATCAAATCTGCTTGCACTAGCACTGTACAACCTTCTTGCAGGGCTTCATGGATATTTCACTAATGGCCAGCTACTTTATTTTTGGAATACTCCGTCTATCTGAACTCTGCAACAGTTGTTTCTGGTCCTACAAGGACTACTACGTTGCGGCGTGGTGCTTCCACCAGACCTATGTGTCAGCTCTATTACGTTGTTTTGGTGTGCTGGTGATCTCATTCCAACGCTATATTTCTTTATGCAAACACGGTCATCCAATCGAACAGGTGACCAACTTCGGCAATCTCCGAAATTGAAGTTTTTTTCCTGGAAGCGTATATTAAGATTGTCAACAGTTCGCATCGTTGGGTTCTGCCCATCCTTCAGTGGGTAGTGCCATCAGTGTATTCAATTCCACTTCTTGTGTTCGGTAACGCGACCTTTACAAGCCCAGAAAATATGGAGGTGTTGGTTGAACGGCAAGCTATCACGGTAGGAATTTTGGAGAAGCTCCTTCGATTTTGTACTAACTTCGCCTTTTCAGCTTGACACTTCGATGACTGCACCCTTCGTCTTTATAACGTTCATTCTATGCAGTCTGTGTTATGGGACAATACTAAGATTTCTGGTCAAAAACCGTTACAGTAGCAGCGTGTCAGTTTATAAGGGGCTTATCCGATTAGTATCGTCCAGCACATAAATTAACCTTTTAGAGCTTTGAAACGAGAACGTCGTCTTTATGTGCAGATGCTTGGCCTATTTGTCGGCTTCCTGCTTTTGACTGTCTTTTACATCATGCAGTTCAGGTTTTCACTTCGTTCCAACGTACGTTACGTCAATGCAAAACTGCAGATCGGTTTTTTTGTGGTGAAAATGTAGTTCGGAGGGTGGGGGCCTCATATCAAACCAACCTTAAGAGCACAGGCTCTGAGTGTACGATTAGATAGAGATCCCAACCCGAGATTTCGCACAAAATCGAGTACCTGAAAAACCCTTTCGCTGAGAGTTTGTTCAAATTCCAGTGTGCCATAATTGCTAATATTTTTTGAAGTTCCTCAACGGAAACGCCATTCTCTCGCCGCTGTTTCATTCGTTTTGACTCGGAAAGGTACGCTGGAAATTTTCGACTCAGGGGGGGGGGGGGCACAGACACGTGATCTTTCTATGCACAACAAGATTCTACAGCACGGTCCGTGGAGGTCTACCGTAATCCATGTTGGTCGGGGAACCGGAGCTAAAGCAGAGCACTGGTCTAATTGTAAGCGCCCTTCAAACGGCGCTGGAGCACCTCTAAATTATCCCACACTTCGCGAACCCTAGCTCTCCAAATCTATAAGCACTTTGGTGTAAAGTGCGCACAGAAAACGTCAAGATGGCACAAATCGATGACATGGGGCATTGCGCGTCCCGGCGCTGACTTGAGTTACGGTGCTCTCGATGGACCATGCTTAAGATTCGTTCTGCTCACCATTTCTCGACGTTACTACAGCGTCATGAAAATTGCATCTTCTGTCCAATGCAAAAACTCTTGGCATCTGAGGAAAATCAGCGATGGCATGCACCTTGAAGATTAGGAGTCCTTTGAAATTATTCCAGGACGGTCCAGTATTCACAATGAGAATCGTGTTTCCTGTGGTCAGCTGTTTCTTCTCGTACGTTAATGCATGGATGATTCTGGGTCTGAATGACGATATAAGGCGGAAAGTTCTGATACTGCTGGGATTTCAATTGAAAAAAGTTCCGGTAAGCTCAGAAAATGTTTCTTGATTCTTTATGGGTTTGACGCAAAAATGATAAATGGCGCTACATCACTGTAGGCTTCATTGCCCGAGTTACTGCCGCTATAATCAACTCTTTTTGGCCTCCAATTTGAACAATACTTACTATTCCGATCAAGAATCTGGGATAGCACCTTTAGGCTGTTCCCATCTCAATCATTTGTTGTCTGGCTTTTTAGCAGTGTAAGTGATATCAGTCCTTGTCGGTTGATAAGATGTCCTCCTAATTTGAATAAGTGACTGGCAAACCCTCATCGCGACTCTGTTAGCTCTTCCAAACTCTTTTGAAAATTTAATCGAAATTTTTGTGCACGTCCGTCCTGGCCATGTTTCACCGGAATCGGGGCTTGCACCCGTTGGAGTTACGTCCCACCCACTTACTTCCAAACTAAGGCGGTAATATATTAGGTTGGTAACTTTGAAATGTCGTTTTTGATCAAAGATTATTTTAAGTATAAAAGCTATACCAAAGCTTATCAACCTAATTTATTTCCTTTATGTGTGTCATCCACTCTCCACCTTTTGTTATGCAAAGCATGGAGGTCTACCTCGTAGAACTCTTCCAGGTACGACTCGAAGAAGTTAGGTACTCAAATTTTGACGTCGTCGCGGTCATTGAATTTATTTGCTGCTGAGGGGTGCTGTGTTGGCCTAGTCAGTGATTGTTGGACGGTGCCAGGTCTGAGCTATATGGCGCGAGAGGCAGAGCGTCCCAGCCCAACTCCTCGATTTCTTGTTGCAAAATTTTCGCGACATGTGATCTTGCTTAGGGCATCATCGTGCCAAAATGTTTCAATGACCGAATTTGCCCTTTGACTACGTAGAGCCCGATCCTCGCCTGCGGATGTTGTGCGCAGAGTTTAGCTGTAACTATATGACGCACAATCAGCTCTCCATAGTAAGCCATTCTTATACTGCTTCACCACACTGTAGCAAGACTTTTTCTCTGTGGCTGTCCGGTTTCGGAGAGGCCCTCAGCTGCCCATCTGTTGCCAACCACGGCCATCTTCTCACTTTGTTATCGGGGAACATCCTTCTGTAAAACACGCTTTCAACGAAGTCAGGAACCTTCTTCTTCTTGGAGTTATGCAGCAGAGTTCAAGTATTGGCAACCAATACTGCTTGCTCGTGTCGCTCAGAATAGGCCGAACCCATTTTCTATCCTGAAAGGCCTTAACAGTCGCACGTAGGAACTTTTAAATTTTTCTGTTGACACAACTGAATCTCCATGCAAGTTTTGTGCGGTTTGTCGAGGACTCAATTCGTTGGCTTTCTTTATTTCTCCGTCATCTAGAGCTAGAGGTCAAAATCCACGACCTTCGTCTCAGTCCTTTACCTCAGTCTTGGAAGAGCTGAAACCATAGCTGAAAGTGCATCAGAGACTAAGTGTTGCTGCTCAATGTTTTGCACACAATGAGTGGGATTCGTTGGCCTGTTTTTCCTTGCTTGAATATATACGCTCAGACGATGTTTTCTGATCAATCATCTTCGAGCAAAAGTTTTGGCTCGAAGAACATCCGCTCACTGCGCCTAAGATTTCGCAATATGCGCACTGAATCGCTCTCTCGAATGAATGGTCTCCCATATTACGAGGTTGAGTTTCAGCTGAGAAACAAAGCCACTAAAGGAAGCGACATTTCAAAGTTACCAACCTAATAGAACAGATTCCAGTCGAAATATCGAATCATTTCCATTGTTACATGTGAACTAATGTAGAATAGCCCCGTTTAATACCTGCTCATGCCTCTTTGTTATTTTCATGATGAGAGTTGAAATTAAATTTTTCCACCATCGAATGAAGGAGTTCAGGGATCGTAAGATGGGTAGAGTGAGTGTGGTGCAAACTTCCATAAAAATCCATTCACCGTGATCATATTTCAGGGCTCATCATTGTTCGGAAACAAGTCTACCTCGGTGAAAGTGGCACCTATCGGCGAACCAACGCGATTCTGAAACTTCATGGATCTGGTCACGCTTGTCGTTACCTTGGTTGGAATGACAAGTAATTCGAAGAAATTATCTGAAAACGACAAGAACACACCTCAAATTGATTTATTCAAATCTTTTTCACGACTGCTTACATTTTCTTGCACTTTTAAATGTGATGCTGCTGCCATTTCACCTCGTGTAAACTGATTTGTACAATATGCCAAGGCAATTTCCATGCAAGTGAGGGTAATAAGATACAAAGATGTACAGAAAACAGTAGTAGTACTAGTAGTCCACTAGTTTGAGCAGTGTTTTACTAACAAATAAGTTTCCCTGGCATGGAACGTACACAGGCAAGCACAAACAGTGCAGAAAAGTTTCTGAAGGTTGCTGGACTTTTACAGTACAAACTGATTTAAACACCAAAGTAAAAGCGTCTGGACATAGCTACAACTGCTACTTCTCCACTCAATCGATCTTAACCAACAAACCTCATACTGAAGTCATTGCTGGGACTATACCATATCCATTAAGCTAGGTTAACGAACAAAAAATCCCTTGAAATTTTCTTTGTTCACCCAACAAAAATCGCTGAAAAACTGCATTTTTGTAATGTATTTATGTGTGTAAGAACGAGCAAGTGCGGAAAGTAAGAGAACGGTGCCGTTGAAAGCAAATGATTCTGAAGGACTATTTGTTACCCTAGCCTGTAGGAAGGATAGGACAGAGATCGTGAGTATGGGCCATAGGAGCTCCCTCGATTCGCCGTCAAAACGTCATTGTCTTCAGATATGGCAATGCTTCAGAGCTTTGTACATCTCGATTAAAGATGATGCTTTTCTCTGACAGTGGCTCTGTACAAGTTTTGCTTCCGTTTAATGGCCATGAGTAATATATACAAGGAACTTTTGTTCTTTTTATTTATTTATTTATTTATTTATTTGTAACGCTGCATAAGGCAGTCGTGAGAAACATACCAAGAACGATTTCAAATTGATGCAGTACACTTCTACTAACCATAGCTCAACATTCCTTCTTCATGAGGCGTTTGAAAAGTAAAAAGCAGGGTTAGAACGGAGCGATAATTAATATAGATCCAGCTCGACACCTAAAGCTGTATCGCTTTTAAGTTGGTTCGTGGCGTTGCATATGAAATCTTCTCCGATCCACCTCTAGTTTTTGATTTGACCCTTTCATAAAATTTGGATGCATCAACTCTGGCAATACCTGACAATATTTTGAATACCATGCAAACATCGTAAACTTTTCTGCGGGAATTTAAGCGTATTAATTTAAAACATCGAGTGCGAAATCAGGTAATAGTTAATTCAGAAGAGGCCTCACTATTCATCAACCTGTGACTGTTCTGAAACATGAAGCTGGGCAATGTCCTCAGGTCTTACGAGCTCGAAGACGAAGAGACAGCCAGACTAAACAAGACTCCTCATTCTTTCTCAACATCCGGAAACCGCACAGTTTTGAGCTCTGATTGAGTCACCCCACCAAAGCTTCTGGAGTGTTGCCTTGCATTTTTCAAACGGTGAAACCAGCTCTGCAAACTTGTTTATCAAGCATAAATATCTAGAGTGACAACAGTAACAAATCCATCTAAGAAATGCAAGGTTCGAAAATTCCCACGTTTGTTTGTGTTATTTAAAAAGTAATCAAGAATCCTGTTAGCCTGTGAACCTGGTTACAGCGAAGCTTTTCGCAATTTCCTCTTCCGATTTCTACTTCTTTCCCCAGTTCCGCTGTGGATGGTGATGAAAGGCCAAAAATACTGTTGGAGCACATCGATTTGTAGGAAAGTAAGTGGAAGAGACTGATACTCTTGCCTCAACGCGTCGGTCATATGTCACGGTTGCGCAGACAGTGACTCACAGAAAGCTCGGGTAAGGCTTATATGGAACATTGGTTAGTTCATTTTCAATTACTTTTGCGAGTAAGCAGTCATACAGACTCCTCGTGAGCCCCCTAGTGCAAATTTATAACCAGATTATACCATTCTCTACACCAGGAGATCCTCAATGTGAAGAGAGGGATTTGACATCATCTCGTAATCTTTTTTGCACAACTCTCGAGAACGTCATGCGTGTGAATTGGAATGGAAACGTGGAAGCGCAGTTAATCGTGATAATGCGCGAATTTCAAAGGTCCTACGACCCCCGTTCTTCTTTATGGGGTATCGACAACACCTCCAGCTGGGGGTGCCACCGCCGGCATCACCACAGCGTCTGCCTCCGGTGCCAGATGACTCCAGCACGACACCATCTCTTTCGTCCCCCAACTTTCCTTCGAAGGTGACGTCGGGCTGGAAGTTGGGCGAGGGAGTGAGTTCATAGTACCGCTGGACATCTGTCACAAATGCTGGCAACGGGAATGCTTTCTTTTTGTTCTTCGATTTGTCTCTACTCTCCAAAATCGCGCGCTTTAACCCGATTCTTTCATTGCGTCGCCTGATACGTAGCCGCCCCAAGGCGGACTTCTTTCCATGCCCGCCTTTGGCTCCGCCGCCATTACCTTCGATTGTCCATAGAGTGTAGTTTTTGTACGTTTGTTTCTCTTCGGAAACCGAATCTTCATGCGTGAAACTTTGTGTGCTGTTCCAGTGATCACAACTGACACATTCATGTTGAAAGAATGCAAGAATTTTCCGCGAAGGATTCCTTTAAGAGGAACTGGTCTACGTTTGCTTGGAGATTCCTGTTGGGCATTTTAAAGAGTGGATATACTCACCGGTAGGAGGTTGCTCACATAATCTTCTTTGTTTTAATCTTCAATTAAAAGGGCAGTTCCTCTAAAGCTGCGATGTGACTAATAGCGTTAATCCTGGAAAGAAATTCCAAGCGTGAGACTACACATACTGCGTACTGTGGTGTACGAGTCGCAAGTGTAATATCACTATGAACTATTCATTAATGCTAGGTTCCTAGTTGTTGTGAATTTAAATTCAATCTACATATACTACTGGTTTATCTACTATTTAATGCCTCTTACTTCCTTGAATGGACACCAATGGCAATTGGAACACCGAGTACCCAACAGGAGGCCTGTCGCTCGGCGAGAAGGCAGAGGCGCAGAAGGTCAACGGATGAGTTGCAGCGCGCACTGCGCGGGTGGCACATACTACAGTGCATTATACAGGGTGTCCCGTAAATATTG